CTCTCTCTCTCTCTCTCTCTCTCTCTCTCTCCGTCTCACCTCGCTGCTCGCAGATTATCTTTTTGGCGGGGCCTGGGGTTATCCTTGGAGCCGGCCTGACGGCTGTCTTCATGAAGTTCGTCCTCCCGTACGACTGGGACTGGAACCTGTCCATGGTCTTCGGGTCCATGGTAGCGGCCACCGATCCCGTCGCAGTTGTCGCCCTGCTCGAGGAGCTGGTAAGAACCAAGAGGGAAACCCATCGTAAAGAAATAAGCTGCTTTGGTTGAACCTCCTAAGGTAAGTCGTATGTGTCGCGGGGTGCAGGACATCGTCCGCTGAACCAAATTTGTACCCTCTATTTGTCCACGACCTCGTCGCCATGCTCGAGGAGCTGGTGAGAAAACCAAGAAAAGCCCCGTCGTGAAGAAGTATTTAGTGTTGGTTGCGCCTCCCGCCGAGAGCCGATTGTGCCTTGGGGTGAAGAACGTCTTCACTGAACCGAAATTCACCCCTCTCAGTGTCCACGACAAAGACTCTGCCGAAGCGCGGTGCGTGTTCGGAAGCTCTCGACGAGACGGTTCCTACGCCGCCATTTTCGGCACCGCCGCTGGTTTTGCTGCATTGAGCTTTGGAACTCAGTCGAGGGTGTGTGGTATCCTGCGAAACTAGCGGTAGGAAGTTAGGTCCAAGAGTTCTACAGTTGCCTCGCTGATGTGGCTGTGCGCGATAGAGTTGGTTATTGTTTTTGTGTCGAGAAGATCACCTTAGGCTCTCTCCCTGGACACCGCTCACCCCACTCCCAACGTCGACCTTTGGACACATGATGAATGGGCAGGGCGTGAGTGAGAAGCTGGGCACTCTGATCGAGGGAGAGAGCCTGCTGAACGACGGGTCGGCCATCGTGGTTTTCGAGGTGTTCCTTGGTGAGAGAGAGAGACAGTGTGAGAGAGAGAGACAGTGTGAGAGAGAGGGGGGGGGAGAGACAGAGAAATAGAGATAGAGATAGAGAAACAAAGAGAGAGAGACAGACAGACGCAAACGCAGAGAGGAACTGAGATGCTGATAGAGAGCGCGAGAGCGACAGGGACGCACACAAACACAGGCAGAGGCAAGGGGAGGGGGGACAGGGAGATGTATATATATTAAGGGAGGCAAGGAGATAGATATTGGCAGAGAAAGAGATCGAAAGAGAGCGAGGGTAGGGGGGATGTGAATGAAGAGACGCAAAGACCGATCAAAGATCTCTCTGGATCGTGGTGGCTCGTTAGCCGTGGCTGTAGGACCTGATGTTTTTTTTTGTGAGCGAAAGGGAGAGGAAGAAAACGAGAGCTATTCGGAGCTGTCGCGAGATTGGCTAGTCGCGCTCTTTTTGGTTATTTGTATGCACATAAGGCAATCCTTGATGGCGACGGCGAGGGGTGATGGTCTAGTTATTTTGTCCTGGACGACTGGTCCTTGCTGAGGGAGAGAGGTTTTCGAGAGGCGTGTAGAGCTATTCGCCGCGTGAACGGCTTCGTTCCAAGTCGAGCTCAGTGCGTACAGTACTGCCCAAACGGATTGTCACACAATAAATATTGCACCGGCGCTACTGCTGAGAGAAGTAGAAATCGACCGCGTTGGGGTCCTCTGGCTTTTTGAGAAAACACACTTGTGTTGACGCCCCCCCCCCCCCCCCCCCCCCCCCCCCCCCCCCC